AATAGTTTGCATTTCAAGAAACTATTATTTGCTCATTCCTAAAATGAAACTCCTCATCCATTCAAGTTTTATCATGAGATTGCAACAATTGAGTGCATTTTCAGACTCCATCTTTAATTCTAGTTCTCTTATTATTGCCAGCACATCTGCAGTGACTTGCTCCACTGAAATCTTGAATCCCTCAAAGTCATCCATGAAGTTTGAAATCATCTTCTTCCAATCTCCTGTGAACGTTGGTATTTTGATCTTCTCCCCTGAGTCATGAATGTTCTGAATAGCATCTAAAATGATGAATCATTTCCAGAAGGTTTTTAACTTACTTTGCCCAGATGCATCTAAAGAATCACTACCTATGGCAGCTATAGCCTCACAAAATGTATTTCTTAAATAGTAAGACTTGAAAGTTGAAGTCAGTTTTTGACTGTAAAATAGGCTGTGTTAGCAGGCAAGGAAATAGCATTAATCTCCTTGTGCATCTCCATCAAAGCTTTTGGGTGATCAGGGACTCTGATCAATGGGCAGTAACAGTTTGAAAGGAATTTTATTTTTTTCTGAGCAGGAGGTCTCAAAAGTGGACTTCAAATTTTTAGTAGGTGATTCTGTAAACATATGTGCTGTCACCTAGACTTTGTTGTTTCATTTATAAAGCTTTGGTGGAGTAGAGTTAGCATCATTCTTGAAGGCCTTAGGATTTTTCCGAATGGTAAATGAGCATTGGCTTCAACTTAAAGCCACCAGCAGCATTAGCCTCTAACAAGAAAGTCAGCCTGTTCTTTGAAGCTTTGAAGCTAGGCATTGACTTCTCCTCTCTAGCTATGAAAGTCCTAGATAGTATTTTCTTGCCAGAGAAGGCTGTTTCATCTACATTGAAAATCTATTGTTTAGTGCAGCCACCTTTGTCATTTATCTAAGCTAGATCTTCTGGATAACTTCTGTAGCTTCTATATCAGCACTTACTGCTTCATCTTGTACTTTTATGTTATGGAGGTGACTTCTTCCTTAAACCTCAAGAACTTACTTCTGCTAGCTTCCAACTTTTCTTCTGCAGCTTCCTTACCTCTCTCAGTCTTCATAGAATTGAGGAGAATTAGGGTCTTGCTCAGGATTAAGCTCTGGCTTAAGGGAATGTTGTGGCTGGTTTGATTTTCTATCCAGGCTACTAAAACTTTCTCCATGTCAGCAATTCGACTGTTTTGGCTTCTTACCATTTATGTGTTCCCTGGAGTAGCACTTTCAGTTTCCTCCTAGAACTTTCCTTTGCATTCACAGTGTGGCTAATTTGCTGCAAGAGGCCTAGCTTTTGGCCAATCCCAGCTTTCAACCTGCCTTCCTTACTACGTAGAACCATTTCTAGTTTTTGATTTAAAGTGAGAGACGTACAACTCTTCCTTGAGAAGAGTTCAACTCACTTGAACACTTAGGGACCGTTGTTGGGTTATTCTTCAGCCTGATTTTAATGTCATTGGGTCTCAGGGAATTCGTAGCCCTGAGCAGAGGGAGAGAGATGGGGAAAAGGCCAGTCAGTGAAGCAGTAAGAACACTCCCAACATTAACGATGTGAGTTTGCTGTCTCACATGGGTGTGGTTTGTGGTTCCCAACAACAATTATAAGAGTAACATCAAATATTAATGATCACAGATTACAGTGACAGGTATAAGAATGATGAAAAAGTTTGAAGTATTATGATAATTACCAAAATATGATAGAGAGATACGAAGTGGCACCTGCTGCTGATAAATAGTGTGGAAATACTTGGATATGCTTGGATGTACTTGGATATGCTTATACTTGCTTGATGTGGCGCTGCCACAAGCCTTCAGTTTGTAAAAAACAAGCAAAAAAGGCAATGTCAGTGAAGCTCAACAAAATGAAGCCCAGTAAAATGAGCTGTACCTGAATCTAAAGGAGTCCAGTGAGCACTGGCCTTAGCTGTGGCTCCTCAGCCCTGGAGGGTGATTAAGGAGAAGACTACTCCCCCTTGTCTTCCGTGGTTCAGAAGTAGGTTGGACCAGAGGCCTCCTTAAGCTCTGTCCAGGTTGCAGAGTCTCTGAAGACACCTATATACAAATGGTAACGAAAATGCACTGTTAATGCGGTTGCCCATGATATCCTCCAATTTTTACTGCATCTCTGTGCAGAGGCTAAGGAACAAACAGTCTTGCAGAAGGAAACACTCCATGCTGGACAAGATCACTGGGTGATTCTTTTGTACATACACACTTATAAACACATAGGAATGCACAAAATCTCTCTCATTAGGTTCAGTCCTTTTCACTCATGATCAGACATTCTAACCGACTACTTGCTACCTAACCGGCAATTTATTCCCTTCTATAAGATTCAATTGCTGTGTTAGAAAGTTGAAAAAAAAAAGCCAGAGAACTTCAACCTTCCATTTCAAGTAGTGGAAGCTCTTTCTTCAGAACAATGTCCCCTTCCAGAATGTCCAATATTTAAAACTGATGCAAATGGAGTGGCATTGCTTGCAGACATATTGGCTACTCTAATGCCCTCTCCTCCATCACAGACACCCTATACTCCCTGTTCCTTGACCCTGCCCTAGAGGCAACTTTTTGGGGGGGGATTTGAATGCCATCGAACTGTATTATTCCAAATGCCTTTCCACTGTCTTCTGTTCAATAAAGCTGTCCCTCATGTAGCTCCTTCATCCATGACACAGCTGGGACTTTGTGTAGTGGGTAAAGCAATGTTATCATCCACTTAATTTAGAATACAGGCATCTGTGTTCCTCAGGCCACCTTCAGGCCATTTATTTGATAAGTGGCCACAGATGACCACAGCAGCCACAGATCAGTGGCTCTTGCATGCCACACTTGGTTCTTTCTACTCCTCTCTTGTACATTCATGCTCCTGGACTTCAAGAACAGTCCCAGTGCTCAGAGTCTCACCACATTATCCTCCCTGGTTAATGCTCCTGCCCACATAATTTCCCAGTAACACTGGCAAGGTTTTTTGCTGACATGTATGATCGACTTTAGTAAAGCAAATACATCAACTTTGGGGAAACTTTTGTGAAAATAAAAATGTTACTCAAGGATTAACAGGTTTAAATATTAATCAGTGTATTAACTTGAAATATTGATGGGCATGCCTTTAATATTAAAGTGCAGCTCTCTACCAGAATACTGCATTTTAGTTCTGTTTTAAAACAAGCATTCCTCTTTCAAACCACATCACCGGCTCTGATCCCATCCAAGGACACGTGGAGTGGAGCCAAATGCTCGCATGCTCCCTCCTCAGGACAGCAGTTGGGCAGCAGCTGCTCAACATGAAACACGTGCTTTGGAAACAAGAAGCAGTGCTCACCCCAAGATGCTGGACTGATTCCACAGGCAGTTCGCCGCTGGGTGGCTTTCCTCTAAGTCATCTACTTACTGACTATAAGACCTTCCCCACTGCTTTTGTTTATACAAGTTTGTTTAGGGAATGATTGCTCTTCTTAAATGGCCAGTCTTATGTTTGGACAAGGCAACAGAATCACATTCCCGCATGGCAAGAAAGGACCTTGAGCTTGTATAATCCAATGCCCTTGCTTACAGATGTGGAAACTGACCACCAAGGAAGGTGACTTGGCCATGAGGATGTAGCTAGAGGAGCAGTATCACCTTGGCCAGGGGCAAAGGAAGCCCTGTCCCGGGATTCATGATGTAGAGGACCCTCCAGCTATGACTGTCCCAGTCTACAAGTCATGAAATCCATGAGCCCAAGGGACCTGCTCATCTGGAGTCTGTACACACATTCCAGGTACCCAGAACCCTAGAATTCTTGGCTCAGTGGCCCATATCCACTTTTGTGTGCATCCTCATGTGAAGGTGTGACCAAGGTATGGCTGTCTTTGGCAGGTGTGAACATTTAGAGTGTCAGTGTGTGTCCACAAGTCCTTCACATTGCAGGACAGGGTCAGAGCCAGTGTGGGAAGTGGTGGGGAGCTGAGCCAGCTTGCCCCACTCCATCCTTTTTGTTGTGGAACTCCAAGGAATCTGAGAATTCTAAATTAAACCTTGACTTTGCAGTTTTTTGTAAAGGTATATTTAACCAGGCGAGAAGGTAGAATATATTTTATTTAGTAATTTGTTTGCTTTATTTATAATTTTAAAATATTTGGACTCATGCATGTGGGTTTCCATTTGTGCTCTTGGTCTGGGCCCTACATGTACTGGGGTCTGGCCTGCTCAGAACCTACCTTCCTTGGATTAAGCCCAGAGCCACTGGCTGCCTTACAGGGAGCAGCCCGTGTAACGGATTGTGACAGGCATGGCGGAGGATTGAAAGCAGAACTTGGTGTATAAGCAGAGGACCTATTCTACCACTGTCTACTTGTATGACTGTGGAAAAGCCATTTACCTAAGCTGATTGCTTATTTTCTGATCAGCAAAAAGATAACACCTAACTGCCTTGGGACAATTTTTCTAGCAGCAGAGCCCGAGACGGGTGCTCTTGGGCAATGGTTTGCTGAGGGAAGGCTCTCACAGGAGCAACAGAAGCAGGACAAGAAAGGAAAGGAGCTGGACAAAGGTGTATGCTGCAGGCCAGCATCAATCTAGTCCCATGGAAAGCTCTGGAGCTCGAATTGCTTTAGTTCTGTTTTTAGAGAGCAAAGCACCACTGAGTCAGTTCCACCTTGAGGCACCCCTTAAAAACTGCATGAATCAGTCTGATCCAAAAAGACGTTTCAGTACTTGCTTTTGAAAGAGTACACCAGGCCCACAGACCATTGGAGACATAATTGAGGGGCTTCACTGACACCCACATTTGTCCTCTCTACCTCAAATCTCACTGTATATACATGGTGGAAAAACAAGGCACAGCACTATAAACAAAATGTGAGAATATGTTGCAGTAATTTCTGAAATGTATTAAATGCAAAATAACCAAAGGGCAAAGATGGGAAGAAGGGCCTGAGAGATAGTTCTATCTTGCTAAAGGAAGACTGGCTACGAATATCAAAGAAAATGCAAAGTAACCATAAAAAATACTGTTTACTTTGATTTTATTTAAATTTTACTGGCATTGTGGAACTCATTCTCTAGTTGATTTCACCTTGCTTTATCTGAGAAGAGCTGATGACTGATGGGAGTCACGCTTCTTTCTTTCAGCATTAACCATGATCGTAGGACAAAACAGCAGAGGCAAATGGAGGTGGATGTGAAGCAAAGTCAGTGCACAAATACACTATTTGCTGAAGCCTGTACTGACAGATGGCCTGAACTCCTCACTTTGCTTTCTGAAATAGAATCTCCTTTTACAATCTCCAAGGTAGGTTAAAAAGCTCCATAGAAACATAAAAGATATGAAAAGCACATGAAGTTAACCCATCTAAAAGATTGGCAATTACTATTCAATAAGTGAGAGCAGGTGGCATCAATCCCTTCTCCGCCTATTGCATTTTGATTTCTGTCCCAGAATGGCTGCCATCAATCATTCCCTATCACTGAGAGGCTGGAGAAGCCTTGCTTCAGTGGTGGGAGCTCCTGGGAAGATGCCAGCGCTCTGGGTGGGGAGTTGTCAGACTGAGCTCACCAGGAATGCTTGTCTATAGCACCAGATCAGGGGAAACAGTCCTGAGTTTCCGAAACAGACCAATAATCAGTAACTTGGGGCTTAGGTGGATGGCTGGAATCCAGGGAAAGATATAAACGAGGATATCAAGGTTGATCTGGGACCAGAGCAGAAGGATCCCAGAAGATTCAGTGATATAATGAACCTCAGAAAATAATGGCATCAGTGGTCCTGATTCTTCATTTATCCATTCATCCATGCTTTTGTCATATGAATTAAAGTTTCTTCTGCTGGAGTAGCTATACTTGTATCAGATGAAACAGGCTTTAGGTCGAAAATGGTTAAAAAAAAAAAAAGACAAAGAAGGTCATTTCAGCAAGAGATTATAGCTATATAACAAATATATATATATATTTTTATATATACACATACATATATATACACACACACACACACACACACACACATATATATATATATATATATATGGCCAGCACTGGAGCACCCAGATTCATAAAACAAATAAACAAATACTTCTGGACCTAAAGAGCGAGGCAGACGGCAATACAATGCTAGTGGGAGGCTTCAACACCCCATCCACAGCATTAGCACGGCATTAGACAGATCATCGGGTCAGAAAGTCAACAGAGACATTGGACTTAAGTTTGCCTTTGGACCAAATGGAACTAACAGATATTTACAGAACATTCTACTCAACAACTGCAGAATTATTTTGATCAGATAGACAATGGAGACTCAAAAGGCAAAGGGAATGGGAGGCTAATGGATAATGAGAAATTAGTTAATGGGTACAATATATGTTATTTGTGGAATAGATACTCTAAAAGCCCTGACTGGACCATGACACAATTTATGCATGTGATAAAATTCCACATGTGCCCCATAAATTTGTACAACTAATAAATAAATGAACTTTCTTCTGCTAAACTAAACAGAATGTATTTTTCACTCTTGGATTTTGTGTTCATCCTCATGACTCATTGTAGACAGTGGAAGTGGGTCGAAGTGACAGTGTGCGTGTGCACCATGTGACTCCCTTCAGTCAATGGGAAGTGGTAAAATGGCCCATTCTGTGGCCTTGTTTTTCTTTCACTTACCTTCATGCTTCTGCCACAGGGAAGAACATGCCTCTGCCAGACTGCTGGTGCAAGAAGGCTGAGAAGTATGTGTGGCAGAACCACCCCAAATGACCTACAGTATGATCTGCAGTCAAGCAGCGCCTGCTCCAGCACCCTGAAGCAAGCCCAGCCTAGATCAGCCAGACCCCTGCTGCCCCATAGATGCAGGAGTAATAACAATGATTGTTTTCAGCCAATGAATTTTGGAGCATTTGTTACATGGACTAATTATAACAATAACTGACCAATATGGTCAGCTGTAGGGAACACTCGGAATGGACACTTCTATGTATTTCTTTTGCATGTGACTGGCCGTATGTCATTTGGGAGGGGATGGTGTGTTAATGTGGCAGGCTGGTAAGAGAGACTTCTTGCCAATGCTATATTAGAAGTATTCTCCAAGAATTCACCCAAGCTTTGCAAGAAAATCAAATAAACTCTGAATATTCTTCAGTTCCCTAGAGGGATTACTGCTTAGCTGCTTAGCTGTTTGATTTTTTTTTTCTCTCAGCCTACATTCCCTTTCTTCCTCCTTTCCTTCTTTTTCTTTCTCTCTCTCTCTTTCAGTCTTTCCTTCCTTCCCCAGAAGATCCATGCTAGTTTTCCATGCCAACAGTGCAGGCAGGGTGTCCTGAAAATTTAAATGTATTTAGAATTCAGAATATTTGTTTCTGAATTAACCATGTATGGTTTTGAATGGCTGTTAGAAAATGATCCATCCTAATTTTTAACTTTGTCCTGGATCCAGTTACCTTAAGTAGATGCCATTGATTTTACTCTTCTTAGTAACCAAAGGACATGCAAAATTTTGCTCTTGATATACTTGGCCTAATGATTCCATTAGGAAATAAGGATACTTTCAGAGCTCTTTCCACGAAGAGAAGGAGAATGACACAAACTTGATGGAATTAGAGTCAGAGACATTTAGAATTGATAGAGATATTCAAGAGCTCATTTTAGCTAGAAAAGAAAGATTTCAGAGAGCTTGTGGGTCCTTCCTGAAGTCACACAGCTTATAAATGACATAACCTAGTCTAGAGCCTGATGTCCCAATTCAGACTCCAGTGCTGCTCACTAGGAATGGAGGAGACTCCAGGCCTATGTGTAATCACACCCATGCTCCTGTGCCCACGGTATTTGTCACTCACCAGCCATGATACTGTTTCCTGCAAGGTTGTTGCAATGTCCTATTTTCATTCTTTCATATTCATCGAATTGGAAGAAACTGGGTGTGACTGAGGCAGGATTTCTCTTGGCCAAACAATGCCTCTGTGTACAAAAATATTGTGTTCTGGAGCCAAGAGTGGTACAAGGTTCAAAGAGTAAGGAAACATCAGACTGAGGCTAAAAGTCTTAAAGGAATGCTAGATTGTCAAACGTGTTGCAGAGTTGTCATTTCTGTACCTAATCTTTGTATTTTTTCAATGCAGCCTTTAAAAATGGTTGTGTTGGTATGGTGTCTTAAATAACTGCTCTGGGACATGACAAGATCTCCTGTCTCTTCCCTATCTTCAGTTACTGAACACAAAAACTTGGATGTGTGGGCACATTCAAAATCCTGCACCAACACTCACCTGCTGACCTTGTTCTCCCTCCAGTTGTGGGATGACATAGACAAGACCCAGAGCCTTTGCCACATGGCCTTGGGTAGAAACCTTTGGTTCCTTGGTATCCATCTCCATCTTCATCATGGGAGCACGTGATAGAAAAACTCAAGACCAAGCCCAAGGAGCTGCCCTCTAAATTGTGTCATATTGCAACATTTGCCCTATTTTCCTCCCATTTCTGTATCGCTAAATTGACCTCCCAAAACAACCCAAATTCCTTAATAGAGACCTCTACTAGAAGAGAGTTAAAACATGTCTTAAGGATACCCCACACACAGACAGTGTATCACTGGGTGACCTAATGACTCATGAGAGGCTCTGATCCATCAAAAGGAGTTCCTAAAATTATTAGTGCTAGGGAGATTTCACATAGTCAGAGAGGCCATCAATCAATAGATACAGCAAATAACCAGATTACAAATCCCTGAGAGCAACCACCAGGAACATCAGCAATGCCAAATCCTACTGATCCCTTTCGAACCACCAAGGACCAGAGGGTCCTAAGATGAAAAAAAAAAAAAGCAGGCTCTCTCCAAGAACGCATGAATGAGCAACACAAAAGAGGCAGTTTTGAAATGTTCGGTGACCACAACTTCTGCCTGTGGCCCTGGGTCACCATCCCAGTGGACCTTATTTCCAGTTGAGCATCACCCTCTTTTATGTATCTGAACACTTTCAGCCTCTACTGGAACTTCCTCCTGAGAACATAATCCTGTTCCAACCTCTCCCTAGAGACACACATGCACCCCCCGTGCACAATGTCTGCAGAAACAGACGCACACAAAAGCCTCCAATTACCAATTGCCACCTGCCCCTTCAAGGCCCCTAGTTAGTGCTCCCTCAACAGGTGTCATCTGCTACCTTGAAAACCCCAACGATCTATCTGTCCTTTTCTAACATCTTGAAGACCCCCAAGGTAAGACTAACAATGTAGCAGCCCTTTCCGCAAGCTTTGGGTAAAACATTCTCCTTATGGTTTGGCTTAATGATGCCACAACTCAGTGCTCACAGCCATAGTTTCAAGTAAAACTGTCACAAATGAATAGAATACATAATGCTCATTACTGATGGATGGATAGATATAAATATAGATATTTTCTTTCTACTTGGGACATTGAGGCTCATGAATGCCATATGTGTGATCTCAGTATATAAAAAGTGAGAAAAGAGAGAGGCCCTGGGGTTGTGGATGGGTCTGCTGCGGTGGTGCCTGTTGCATGTATCTCCATTCCTGAGGCGCTCCCTCCACAAGCTCCCTGGACTTCCCTTGTTTGGGGTTTACTGGCATGAGAGTAGGATGTTGCTTTGTTTCCTTTGGAGATGTGCAGTGTTCAGAATGGCTGAGTGAGAAAATCCTCACCTCCCTTTTTCTACCAGATCAAATGATTTCTACCATTATATTAGCACAGTAGAGAGAACCTAGAGGATTGGGCGGTTGTATTATGCGTGCTGTTGCCCCAATGTTATAAATTTGGACTGCAGAGAACTGGTGACACTGCTAGTGGAAATTAAAATATATGTTTTGCTTTTGGAGGCTTTGATGTTTTCCCAAAGGAATTTTGGTTATTTTTCCAATCTGCCCCTAAGTGTCATATGCATGAGAAATGGGCTCCATGTCTGGGGGTAGAGGTGTTGTATCATTATTTTTCACTAGGATCCTAGAGAGCTCACATTCCTTCCAAGGGTAAAGGGAGGAGAGAAAATGGGAATTCAAAATTTTTTGGTACAAAAGATTATTGCAGAAACTAAGGTAAAACCTCTTGCTGAAATTTCCAAAAAACTGTGGATAACGGTAGCCAGTGGCTTATGAGAAATCATGTGGCATGGCATGCAGTGTGCTCTTTGGAGTCTCAGCCCTCCGCTCAGGTTTAAATTTACAGTCCCACTTCATCCTGTTCTGGGCGCCCAGTGCCTGGCAGGCATTCTGAGGGCCAACGGTAAACTGTATACCCTGCCTGCAAGAAGACAACCAAGGAAGACGACCGGGACCTGAGCTGTGGGGACAACTCATACCAGACAAAGTAAGATTAGAGCTTACCTTGATGATGGCAAGTGACAACAGAAAGACCTGAGTGCGGCATGAGAAGGAGAAGAGAGTGCATTGGGTTCTGGATGGAAGTTTGTCCAAGGCCCAGGCATGCACCCTGATGGTGCGAGACAGCTGGGAGGGAACAGATGGGCACTGTGAAGCCCACTTGCCTCTGGAAAGCTGGTTGCAGTGTGAACAGTCCTGAAGGACTGCAGGTCTCCTCTTGGCATGAGCACCTGTCTTTGCATTTACAGAGCCCCTGCAGAGCTGTTTGAAGTGTAACAAGAAAGAGTGTGTGGGTGCCAGCAGGAGGGAGAAGAGTGAGACACACGCAGAAGTAATTTGCTGTGAAAAAGAAAATTATGTTGAATTGAAAACGGTCACCAAGCAGCTTGAGAAGAAAAGGTTTGCAGGAGGCAGAAGAAAAGAGGGCTTTAGCAAAAGAAGTGGGGCGAACCCGTGGGAAGGCATGCCTCTGTACCTCGAAGCCTGGGAAATCCCCACGGCTTGCAGCGTTGAGGAATTTTATGTAACGGTGATGCTGGTGCA